GACAGAAAACTAGCCTCCAGGAAAACAAAAAAAACCAAACAAGTTTTCAGTGATTGTACTCATTCTGCAAGCTGCCTAATTGTTAGATCTGACACCAGACATGGAACCAGGAGAGGAGAGGAAAGGCGAGAATAGGGCCATTCCCTGCAGCAGAAGTCTGTACTTACACCCTTTGGTGTAATGTCAGGTTGTAGCTTAAGCATTAGTAATATATATTGTCTTCAACATTTCCTACCAGTTGCTGTTCTCTCACTTCCTGGCTCCTGTTCCACATTTGATTTGATTTCCCGCTCTGACTGACAGCCTGCCTTCTGTTTTGGTTTCAGTGAAGGAAACAGTTTCATCACCAGGTTTGATACAGGAGGTCCATTTGAATCACTGTCCACTGCAGACTCTTTGGACATTCCATCTTCCCTTTTTAAGGCAACTTTTCTCTTTATTGCTTTATCTGGGACAGTTGTATCATTCTTACTGGAAAAGTCCATCTGTAAAGGTATTTTAGTGTATTCCTCAGGTAAACCAGTATTAACATAATGTTCTTCAAGGTCACTCCATGTTCTTTCATCATCAAACTCACATTTACTCCTACTTATACAAGACATGCTTCTCTGATGGTCTGAAGCTTTTCTAATTTTTTGCTTTGACTGTGCGCTGCAATCTTTGTCTGACAAGCCAAGGTCAGCATCTCCATTTTTGCTTTCTTTGCTGATGTCTGTAACAGAACCTCCATAATCAAAAAATTCTGTATCACTTTCTCTATGGCTCATAAAGGATGTCTTAGCATCTTCATTTTCATGCTTTAATGTGGTCTCAAATTCATTCTCAGAATCTGTAGTTGTATCACCACTGCCCTCACCCTTATCTTCATTTACAATCCACTGATTACTTTTTAAAGCAGGAGCTGCTGTTGTGGAAAAGGCTGAAAACATTACACTGTCCATTTTATTCAGTGGACCCTTCATTCTAAAAGTTGTTCCTGAATTTGAGACTGTATGCATAACTGCTCTATCATTCATATTTCCCTGTGTCATACAGTCTGTCTTTTTATTTTTCTTATTTATAAGTTTAACAGCGAGCGCCTTTACTTGCTGCTGTTTTGCCTTAATAGGAGTAGAAGACATTCTACGGCCTTTTAAAGTTTGCTGATCTTGATCTAAGATCCTTTGCACAAATGAGGAATTACTTGAGAATGATATTTCATCTGCAGCTTGTTCTAGAAACAAAAATTCATCTAATTCTAGATTCTCTTTCTCTTTTTCTTTTTCCCAGTTTTCCAGCTTATTCTGAAATGAAACTTCAAAAGACATTTCTGGATCTTTCACAGGGTGACCTATAGGACATTTAGAATTAGAAAAGGCGCTGGCCAGCTCATGAGACAACTGAGGCTTTTCTGTGCCAGGTAATTTGTTTCCAAATTTGCCAGTGTTAGACTTGGCAAATTCTACTACATTCTCTTTATTTTCTATTTTGTTGTTAATTTCTGATGGGAAAGTATCTCTCATCTGTCCATCATGATTTTTTCCTGGTTGCATTCTTGTTTCTAATGGCAAGATATTTTTTCCATTGTGATTCCTGAGTACCAGGGTCTTCTGAATAGGACAATGTTTTGCTTTATCAGGGTGGTTATATTTTTTACATGGTGCAAAAGGCTTCTCAGAAAACAGTTCTTTGCCAGGAGGCATAGTTTTCTTTTGTATTTGTGATCTGTCCACTTTAATAACATTTCTGTCATCCGAAGCTCTTTGCTGAAGTTTTGGGGTGTTTTCTCCAGGTTTTGTAATTTTAGATTTGGCATTAGTGAATCTTGTTAAGCCTTCTCCTCTTTTCAAGAAGGGTCGTTTGATCACTGGTTTTTGAACGGCTGATCCGCTTGTCTCCTGAAAAGGGGTAAGGAAAAGTAAAGCACAAAGTGTTAAAAAGGCCCTTACATAGTTTGAAGATTTCTTCAAATAAATCCCACATATCAATAGGAATTTATATAGTACATTTCTACTGGATTTCTAAAGACATCTTAAACAAGTGAAATATTTGGGGCTTATTGTTTTATTTTGAAGAATGTGGATACTGCATTCAGTGTTAGCTTTTGATGCTAAATTTCCTTGTACATCTTTAAAGCACCTATTGCATCTTGGCACAACATATAAAGAACAATAAAGTTTTTTTAAAAAAGTAACCACCTGTAACTTCTGGTTTTGCTCCAAACGCTGCTCTTCTAGTTGTATCTGTTCTTCCAGGAATTCTTCAAATGTCTGTTTCTTCTCCTGAATCGCAGCTTTAATAGGTCTAGTGTAATTTAAAAAAAAAAAAAAAAAAATCAAGTCTTACATTTCTATGTAAAATAACTGTGTTTAACATCAGTGCTATTCAAAGACATAACATGTACCTACAGAAAAGATGACAAATTATGAGGTACTTTGGTGATTAAGTGTCAAAGTTAATCTGAGAAATGCCTTCTAACACTAATTCTTTATCTTTTGAGAAATGATTTATCAAATCCCTGCTATATACATTAATACACATATCTAAAAGATACTGTATGCAGGTTTTGCCATTTCTTCTTTCACTACTTTTCTCGGTGACCCTTTCTTCTGCCCAGACCACCAAACTTCACTTGTATTTTAGTTGTACTGCCAATTTCTACAGTATCACCTTCCCACTCAGTAATGCCACTGCGACCATGTTCCTTATCTCCCCTTTTGATAGTCCTTCTCCTTCACAGCCTTGTACCGGCTCTGCCTGGGATGGAGTGAGCTTTCTTCATAGCAGTCCATATGGTGCTGTGTTTTGGATTTGTGACTACAACAGTGTTGATAACACACCAATGTTTTAGCTATTACTGAACACTGCTTGCACAGCATCAAAGCTTTCTTTGGTTTCTCATGGTGCTCCCACCTGTCCCCAGCAAGTAGGCTGGGGGTGGGCAAAAGGCTGAGAAGGGACACAGCTAGAACAGCTGACCTGAATTGGCCAAAGGGACGTTCCATGTCATAAAACATCATGTTCAGCAGTAAAAACTGGGGCCTTGGCCTTCCAAAAGTAGCTGTTGCTCAGAGACCAAGCGGGCATTGGTCTGCTTGTGGGAGGTGGAAAGTGGCAGCCTTTGCATCACTTGGGGTTTTTCTGCTCTTTCTTTTCCTTATTAAACTGCTTTTATCTCAAACCACAAGTTTTCTCAAGTTTGCTCCTCTGATACCCTTTCCCATTCTGCTCTGGGGGCCAGAGCGAGCAAGCGACTGGGTGGGTGCTTAGTTGCTGGCTGGGGTCAACCCACCACAGCCTGGAACAAGTACTTCTTGCTTCTGTGATCACTTGGCAGACAAGGCAGAGCTTTTTAAAAAAAAAAAAAGCCAACCAGTACTTTTATTCTATCAACTCCATAAACAAAGCTTTTACCATACATGAGAAGGCTTCTGCCACAAGCACTATTATTACTTCTTAGCCATATACAAATGTTTAAACAAATATAACTCCTGGTAATAAACTAAAAAATCACAACCTTACACTCCACGATTACTACTATCACCACGTAACAGTGGATAGGAGGTTGTAATAAATCAAATGGGGAACAGTAATTATAACCGCTTATATACTAAGCCTATACTAAATGATCATTACCCCAGGTTGCACACACTTCTTCAGCCAATACACAACATCACATCTTTCACAGCACGAACAATTTCAAGCCAGAGCCTCTCTTACTATAGGTCTCCACAGTACCTAGTAAAATGGAATCCTTGGTTGAAAAAGATATACAAATTGAGAATATCAGACTTTTTCAATCAGGACTCAGAATTAATCCAAACTTGTGTTGTGAATTTGATAAAAAATGTGTAATAACGTTCTGACTTACCTTTCCTCTGTATTAGTCCACAAATGTTTTCCTCCACTGGAATTTTCAGAGAGATCTGCACTTTCCATACATAATGGATCAATGTGATGATCTTCACTCTCTATTAATATTTCCATCTTTTGTTCTGGACACATGTTTTTTCCTATGAAATTAATAGAATTTTTTTTTCCTCCCCAACAACAAATTAGTTTTCAGCTCATATTTTAAGCAGCATTCAGGTCAGATTAAAACCAGAAGGGAGCTTCATGGTAATGTAGTCTGAATTCCTACATGAAATAGTCCTAAGATTTCCCCAAATTAATTTTTATTTGAATTTGAGCTTTCTTTTTAAAGGAACATCCAATTATGTATTAAATTTTTTCCACAGGGCTTAAATAACGCATTCTGATTGTTCATCATCTTTGCTATTGTTAATTTATGGCTTAAAAATAAAATAACTGAACAAATTTGGATGTTTGCTGTACTGAAGACGTCTCTTATCAAGCTTCTGTTTCCTATGTATATATGTATAAATTAAGATCAATTCATCCTTTCACATGCTCTTAAACCAAGCCCTCTGATTAAAAGCTTTAAAGCTGCCATGAAGTATGATGAAATGCAATCTCAAACCTTTCCCCAAAACCTCTACAGGTTTTCAGCAACCTTATTAAATTGCTAGATTCAAACCAAACCCACTATTCCAGTCATAGCGACATAGCAGTCATGCTGGTGCCAATGATACAAGAGGAGGAAAGATGACGAACTTCACTGCATTGCTTCTGATGTACAATAATTTTTAGTCATATGGTGGGATCTCTTTGTCAAACAGTCTTGATTCCTAATTCCAGTTCAGTTACTAATGCTTACAATACAGCTGGTCTGAAAACATTCTGTACCCCTGGATAGATTGTTACTTCCCATTTGCCACATGAAAATGTTGGTACAGTTCAGCCCAAACAATTCAGCTATCCAATATCTGTCATTATTTGCTATTTTCGCAGTCTTTATCATATATAAGCTTTAGCAGCAATGATTATAATTTTTTCCTAAAACAGACAAGCATGTGATACAGACAGAAGAACTGGACATTTTCCTCATCGTGCTTTCAACAAAAATCACATGGACAGGAACTCTCTGAGGTCTGTAAGCTGTTAGTAAAACCAACCAACAAATCAAGTAAACCAACACTTGTATAAAGAAAATTACGCTCAGTAACTTCAAGGGGAAAAAAACCCCGCCACGCACCAAGTTATCTTTCTATAAATGACTAACCAGTAATATATTTGTCTTCCTCATTTTTCAAACCATTCTGCATTTTCAGAGGCACACCCAGACCTTGTTTCTCACAGGCAGACACTCCTGGAAGACTGCTCTTCAAAGATGAGGTGCATTCTTTATTGTTCAACTTTTGTAAAAAATCGCTGTCTTGTGTATGTGGAGAAACAATTGCAGCATAAGCTCCGTCTTCAAAGTGATTCTGATAGCCAGATGATGGCAACTGGTGTAAAGTTGTTAAGCCCACTGAATGCCCAGGTCTTAGCTTTTGACTTTCAGCCATTAGAGTAGAGCCTTGAAATTAAAAGAAAAAAAAATGGCTGTGTCATTGTATTTGTATTACACCACCACTGTTCTACAGGAGAAAAGAAATGGCACTGAAGGGCAAGATTGATCACCCAGCCTCCATCCTAATGGTACTGATCAATAAGTTATTAGACAATCTGGATTTCATTCTTCTAATACTAAGCCCTAAATTCATTTTCTCAGGTAGGGAGAGTGAAAGAAAGGTATTCACTTAAGTCAGGTTGGACTGATACTGCCAATAAAATACCCCTGCTCATCTCTAAAAGCTTTTTCCAGCCTAGCACTGTCCCCCCTCCCTTTGCACAAAGCAAATGAGACTGGGAAACTGATACGGGTTACAAGTGTTTGTTTTTCAATACAGATCAGCTTCCCAGTCCAGTTGAACAAATTTGTGTTGCGTGAACACAAACAAGGAGGGACCACTTCATTTGGATACAGTGACAGCTTAAAGCAAATCAAAAGTATTGTGAGGAACAGCTAATCAGAAAGGAAAGCAACTGTTTGTTTTACACTGTCTTTTAAATATAAAATATGTTCTTCGAAAAAAGAGCTCACATCATAGCACATATTGATCAAGTTGCAATTACAGTTGGCATTTTATAAAAATTCCTTCCACAGTAGCACTTGACTTTCAGGCATCAAAGCAGTGCAGCATTTATCTTTGACTAATCAAGTAATTTTAACATGAAGAACACTGAATACACTTTCTGATTTTAACTGGAAAATGAGATTAAATTCTTCAGTTTACTCAAAGTACATCATATGCTTTCTCTCTCAACTTACCAAGAACTGTTGTCTGGCCAGATACCATGCTAAGTAGCTTCTGCTGCTCTTCCATTAGCCTTTGAAGTTGCTCCATCTGTTGTTTCTTTAGCTGTTCCTGTTTCTGTTGTTGCAATTCCTTCAGCTTTTCAAACAAAACCCCAAATGTATTAGAGGCTAGGTTTACTTAGAATGTACCACAGGATTACTGTCATCAAGACAACAGGTATTTCTTGTTTTAAAGATGTCCCATTAGCTAAGTGTAACATGAAGAAAATTAAGAATGAAATGCTACGCTAA